CCGGAAAGCCCACCAAGGACACAAAACACCACAAGTCACAGCAATACTCGGTCCTTTCCCAACACTGGCTGTTGAGGTAAAACCGTTCAAAACTGGCTGGGAAAAGAAGCAAAGAGATGCAAAGAGTCACACTCCTGAAAATGAACAGCAATTATTAAGCTGCCCCAGGGCAGACCTGTCAGCCTCTGCATACAAAACCAAAGCTCAGAAGCCAGATCTCAGCCTGTTCACGGGCAGGCTGCCCAGCCGGCCCCCAGCCTTCTTTACACTCAGTTCAGCTCATCCATCACTGAGGCCACAGTTGTCTGGGGGGCCAGGTCTGCGCTGGGCACAGGGGCATGACAGGGCCACCTGCCCTGCCTTCATCTTACTCACTTCAACCAGGAGATGAGACAGAAGGCTTCATTCATGCCATTCTGTGAGCTGATCTCTTCCACAGGTATATATTGAGCACCCACTGTATACCTAATTCTATTCTGTCAATAGACAAATGGAGCTTATGTTGTAGTGAGATGAGACAGAGAATAAACAAATAAACAAAGACAACATGTAGCTGGCCAAAGGTGACACCTGCTGACGAGCGATTAAAGCAGGGAAGGAGGCAAGGGGTACTGGGGAAGGGTGGTGTCACACACCCAGATATTTTCAATAGAAGACAGAGGCTGTCTTCAGTGGAGAAAGCAAATCTGCACAGACCCCTGTGGGAGGGATTTAGGTGGGTGTTGAGGAGAGAGCATGGTCAGGGGAACAGCAGATGCAGGACCTTCGGGTAGGGAGTGCTTAGCAAATCAGGGACAAGCAGGAGACCGTGGATGGAGTCTGGAGGGCACGGGGGTGCCGTGCTGGGCCTCAGATTTGTTTCTCTAGTGTTTCGGGGTCTCCTGGAATGTGCTGCTGCCTTGTGGGGATAGTCATGCCCCTTGAGGGGAGAGGTGGGAATTTGCAGGGGCCTGTTTTGGTTGTCACAGAGATTGGGAGCATTTCTGCCTTTTGCTGGTGGACCAGGGGTGGTGTTGAAGGTCGTGTGCAGGAAAGCCACACCCCACGAAGACTTTCCACACCCCAGACCCTCCAATATTCAGCAGGCACAGGCAGGACCTGCCCTCTGGCACCACCACCCACATCTAACTCTGCTTTGCATACAGACTGAGTCGTGTGTGTCTAGTGCCAAGACACAGTGAATGTTCCGGGACTGCCACACCATGTAAAAAAATTCCCTTCACCATGGGCCTCCATCTGTGGCCACAGCACATTCACCCAGCCCCTGACCTCCTGGTGTCGTCCGGCTCACGGTGTCGTCCCGTGGAGCTACTCTTGGCATTTGCTTATCCAAGTGCCTGTCATTTTACTTAAATTGTTTGGTGGTGTTTCTCCTTTATATTATGCACAGCATGGTACAGTTTTTGGAGATGGTGGATGTAGGTGGAGGATAGTAGAGGAGAACTAGAAGCAGTGGATGCTGGGACCGCTGTCGTTGAAGAGGCTGGCGCCCCAGTCTAGGTGAGAGACGGTGGAGGCATGGGTCTAAGTAGCGCCTGAGGAGGTGAGCAGAAGTGGTCACATTCTGGTCATATTTTAAAGGTAAAACTTTTGGATTTGCTGATAGACCATACATGAATGTGAGAGAAAAATAGGCCTCGAGGATAACTCCAAAACTTTTGGCCCAAACAACTGGGAAGATGCAGTTGTCACAAACTGAGAAGGGGGAAATTAAAGATTAAAGAAGCATGGGACTAGGGGGAGCCGGGAGTGCAGTCATGGATTATAGAGTTGGAGTTGCCTTTTCATGGAGATGCCAAAGAGCCAAATGGATAGTTCTTGGGGACAGTAAGAGCAGAGAAAAGGCCATGAAACTCAGCCTGTGAGACCAGGTAACTTTCAGGAGGAACAGACACCTGGGCTGGGGTTTTGAATGATCAGCAGGAGTTTCCCTGGAGAAAGAGGATGCTCCAAGCAGGGAAGTAAGCAGGGTGAGCAGAGGAGGTGCTAAAGAACGTGGCATCCCAGCCTCCAGGCCACTTCGATGGACAAGCACTGCGTGCCCAGGACGCGAGGGCCAGAGCTGATGCCAGCAGGCCACATGGAGGCTGGGGGTCTGTCTCACGGCAAGGAGGAGCCCTTGGAGGTCTCAGAACAGGCTGAATTCTTCCATGTCCTCTGGAAAGATGACCGCTCTGATCCAGCCCCCACTTCTGAACCAGCGTCTGCTCACACACCTTTTTGTTCTGTTTCATTTCCCTTCCTCTCCAAATGGACTCCATGCTCCTTAGAAGGAAGGTGCCAAGCGTCAGGGGGCTTGGGAAATCACAGCTGCACCCCTCGAGAGGCCTCAGGGACCCCTGTCCCACAGGTGGTTGAGCAGGGCCCTGCTCTCCGGACGGAAAGGTGTCCCAGGATAACATGAGATGATGCATGTGTGCCTGTCACCTGGAGGTGCCCAAGAAACCGCCCGGAGTGAGGCCTTGTTTGGTCACCCTCCAACAGATCGAGCGGGGTGTGGGTGAGAGCAGGGAGTGTGGCAGGGCCGGGATCACCCTCTGCCTGCCACTGTCCACGCAGCATGGGGACACCCACCACCCTCCCAATGCTGCTCCAGGGAAGTCAGACCAGGAGCACGGTCCCCCTACAGTAAAAGCAGCAGCTGTGGCCATCAGAGAAATGCAAATCAAAACCACAATGAGATACCATCTCACACCAGTTAGAATGGCCATCATTAAAAAGTCAGGAAACAACAGATGCTAGAGAGGATGTGGAGAAATAGGAACACTTTTACACTGTTGGTGGGATTGTAAACTAGTTCAACCATTATGGAAAACAGTATGGCGATTCCTCAAGGATCTAGAACTAGATCTACCATATGACCCAGCCATCCCATTACTGGGTATCTACCCAAAGGATTATAAATCATGCTGCTATAAAGACACATGCACACGTATGTTTATTGCGGCACTATTCACAAGAGCAAAGACTTGGAATCAACCCAAATGTCCATCAGTGACAGACTGGATTAAGAAAATGTGGCACATATACACCATGGAATACTATGAAGCCATAAAAAAGGATGAGTTTGTGTCCTTTGTAGGGACATGGATGCAGCTGGAAACCATCATTCTTAGCAAACTATCACAAGAACAGAAAACCAAACACCGCATGTTCTCACTCATAGGTGGGAACTGAACAATGAGATCACTTGGACTCGGGAAGGGGAATATCACACACCGGGGCCTATCATGGGGAGGGGGGAGAGGGGAGGGATTGCACTGGGAGTTATACCTGATGTAAATGACGAGTTGATGGGTGCAGCACAGCAACATGGCACAAGTATACATACGTAACAAACCTGCACGTTATGCACATGTACCCTAGAACTTAAAGTATAATAATAATAAATAAATAAATAAATAAATAATTTAGGAAAAAAAAAAAAAAGCAGCAGCTGTGTCTGGGTCCGGGTACACTGCCCAGTTGCAGGGCCTGGCCACAACCACTGGGCCACTTGGCCTCCCCATGTGAGGGAGGGCCCCAGCTGTGTTGGAAGAAAGAAAGCTGGTGCCAGGACAGGGGAGGGGTCCAAGGCTCGACTCCCAGGGCCTTCCTAGGAGTGACCCTGGCCAGCTTCCCGCTGCAGTGAAGGTCGATTGGTTGTCACAGGGGCAGCTGGGGTGCCCGCAGCCTTGCCCCTGCACGGGGGAGCCAGCCCTCCAGGCAGGAGAAGCAGCATGACAGGCAGGCACTGCCAGTGCTCCTGCAGCAGACAGGGTGAGGCCGCGAGCAGCACCTGTGCAGGACCAGCCAGGCTCGGCCTCACCTCCCAGTGGGGTAGTCTCTGAGCTGAACCCTGAAGGCTAAGCCAGCACATCTCCCTAGCCAAGGTGCAGCTCACCTTGTGTCCATCACACCCCACTCCAGGAACCCTTTCAGACATGGTTTTCCTGATCGCCCGCACATTGCATTTGAATAGGACAGTGTGTTATATGTCTACCTGTGTGCTGTACCCATGGGCCTGTGTTTTATTTATGAAAAGATTAAGAGCCTTTCCAGCCCCAACACTCACCAGCACCGTGGGGCTGCCTGCTGTGCAACCATGAGGGGCAGCAGCTGTGAGCTCCAGTTGCCCTGAAGGACAGAAGGGCTGGGTTCCTGGCCTCATGGGGCCACACCAAGGGGTCGAGATTGTCCTTTGGCCCAGGGAGTTAGATGTTGAGAGGCAAAGGGTGGCTAGAAACTGAGGGCACCTGAGCCTGAGCGACTGGGAGAGCAGGACATTGTGGACAGCCCGACCTGTGGCTGAGCTCTGGGAGGGCAGGACGTTGTGGACAACCTGACGTGTCACAAGCCTGCCACACCAGCTGCCACCTGCCCGGGGTCAGGATGAGGGCACCGGAAGCTAGACCGGAACATCACATGAGCTCCCAAATGAATCAAATCTGAGCGGAGCTCCCAGCTCCGATACCTCTAGGGTAAACGGAGACTTTACCTCAGAAACTCAGCTTAGCCCCACTAGTACAGAACAGCAGTTTCCACCCTGATGTCTTCCAGAGGCTCAGTGAATGGCCATTTCCATCCATACCTCCCATTAAAAAGAGGCAGGCTTCCATGAGGGGCTGCATGGGAGCTGAGGGAAGACCTGCACCTGTCAGAAATCCTGTCTACGCTATCTGCAGTAGTCCCAAAACAGGTCGTGGAGCAGGGAGAGGTGTCGTTGGGGCATCTTCAGGTCACCTGGGGTCATCTCGTTCACCTCCTCCTCTTTCCTGAAGCTGCTGATTCAGTTAACTCCTTCATTCATTCACTCCTTCATTCATCCAACAAAGATTTAGGGGCATCTACTCTACCTGTGGCTGGGGCATGGTGGTGAGCAAGGCTGGGTTCCCACACACCATGAGGTCAGGTCTGGTGGGAGAGCTGGGCAAGCGACCACCCACAGTGTATTCATATAGTCGCCATGGCCACAGTAAAACACTGCCCTACAGTCCCGGGAATGATATTCCAGCCAAGGACCGAGGGACGTGAGGAGCTGGCCAGGTGGAGGCAAGAGGAAGTGCCCAGTGATGGGAGTGGAGCCTGCACGGGCCTCAAGGGAGGATACTGGGTGACTGGGGCCACCCGGGGTCGCAACATGAAGTGGCACCTTCTGTAACTGGAAATCGCAAGCTCACCTTTCACGCAAGGCTGGCAGCATGTGGAGCTGCCTGAGCAGTCCTCCCTGGGTGTGCAGCTGGCAGGGTCCTCTCTCCAGGCTGACCTGCAAAGAATTGTGTTGAGACTTCCCTTGCAGTTTTCACATTTTTGCATTTTCTATCTTTTTTTTAAAAAATGTAAAAAGAGTTGCAGATCCTCCCATAGTAGTACCCTGTCAAACTCTTTTCCCATCTTGTCCCTCGCTTCACCTCCCTTTCCTTCCACCTTGTGAACTCCGGCCCCTCTGATTCCAGAGGATTCCAGGTTTCCATCAACAAGTTTGCGTGAAAACAAGAAAAAGAAAAGCGCGTGTCTCTGTGCACAGCCCTCAGCAGCACCACAACTTGTTTCCCCAGAGGAGCCCGGTACGACGCCAACATTAATTTACAGTCTGCAGATCCCTCGTCACCACTGTAGTTACATCATTATTGGTGCCATTTTGGGGGTAGTTTTCAAAGATCCTATTTTGGTGGTTTGTGCACATTGAGTGCAGAGATGAGTTTATATTCCACAATATACAGACTATGCCTTGTCTACTTCTATATTAAAATTTATAGATCAATTGACGTCAACATAGATATAAGTACAAAAGATACGGAGATAGAGATATATAGCTCACTCCCTCATTGCTTATTCCCATCCTCATTTCCTAGATGCACGCGGGAGCCAACTCCAACGTATTTGACACACTGAATATGCATGTCCTTAAATATGCACATCTCTTTGTAAAAGATGTAGTGGTGTTTGGTAGATATACATATGCCATAAATTATGTGAGTTACATCAGACGTTAAATCTCATTCTGTTTCTTCTTCGTTTTCACTTGACCGTAAGTTTTCAAGATGTATCGTGTTGCTCTAGCTACAGCTAGATTATTGCTTCTCGGTGCTGCCTTGTGTTATTGCACAGTTTGTTTCCACCTTATTTTATTTCCAGCACTCTGTAATGGACACCAAGTTCCCACACCTTGTTGTATCATAAACAGACAGACAGGCAATCCCCTGTGAGTATTTCCTGATGGGTCTGGATCAGGGTTCCTCCAAGACGCTTAGGAGGAGTTGGGCGGCTGGTACCAGGCCAACCCACACATTGCACTGGGCCGAGTCCTCTGGGGTGGCTGCAGCAGTCCACACCCCAGGGCTCCCGTTAGCCCACAGCCTTCTCAACATGTGAGCCTGTCCCTGGTCTGATCGTTGCTATTCTGTTGCATGTAAAGCACTGTCTTGTTTTAATTTTAACTTGCATTGTGAACATGTTTTCGTGGATTTTTTTAGTCATTTGGACTCCCATTTCTGTGAATTGTTATTCATTACCTTTATTCACTTTCCTATTGCAGCGGTCTCTCCTTTCCTTGTGTTTTGAAGGAATTCTTACTGGCTTTGCCTACTCCTGTTGGCTTTCCCTACTGTAATCCTCATTGAAAAGAAATCCCTAATTTAGAGGTAATCTAACGTCCACCTTTACACTTTAAGCTATGATTTGACAACTTTGTTCAAGCAAATATTTGCTTAATCTCTGCCATCCCCAGTAGACTCCAAGGCTAGGAACCATGGCAGTCTTGTACCACTCGGTGTCTAGAAGAGCATTTATTCATTCGTGAATAACTATTTGGGGGAATGAATAAGACCAGCACCTGGCACATTGTACACACTCAGTAAATGGAAGCTGCTATTTTGAATGAATGAGATTTTCTCAAGGGAAAGCTCTAAGTAAATGTAATGAAACAATCTTCTGCAGAGAGAAACACAAAATCAAAACCAAGAAAACGGAAGCTAAAACACCAACAAACCTCGGTAAGCAGGAGGGACCTCCTGGATCTCATAAGAGATTTGAATGTTTTCACTGAGCACAGAAAGCCTTTGTGATGCATGGATCCAGCTCTCTGTCTCTCTCACTCAGGAATGGCATTACCGCTGCAGGGTCTTTGTTTGTTTTGGCTTTAAAATAGAAACGTGACAGTTACGCTCGGATGATGCCGAAGTCAGGATGATGTGCCACATTTGAGTGACTCACATGCAATACAGTGAGACTCTCCTGCTGGAATCCCTCTAGAATTTGTGACCAGCTCCTCTAATTCCAGCACCATGTTCCGTGAGCACACCATTACCTTCTCTGGATTCTCTGGGAGTCATCTGTGAGGTCTTAATCATTACAATTGGATTGCCTTACTATCTAAAGTTTTATAGAAGGAAAAATAAATCACACATTTAGCAGAGTTTCAGGAAGACTCACCCACCCCCATTCTTTCCCCTACTATTGGGAAACTGCCTGATGCCAGAGAGCAGCACGGACGTGGGACACAGGTCAGGCCCTGATGAGGCCAGTGAGGATCAAAGGACATCTCAGGAGGATCAGCTCCAGCATGAGGGGTTCCACTGAGCCGGTCCCCACGAAAAATGGTGAAAATTGGTTTAAAATACACAATCAGTAAAGACTGCCAAACACAGTAGCAAAAAGCAAATGAAGAGACATGTATTCAAGCAAACGTATAAAACATTGGTGAGAAAGGCGCATATCTAGGCATACACTCAGGAGAGTCTATGGTGTTAGAACCAGGACCTTTCCTCCTCGCTCCTAGTTAGGTAAGGCAGAGACACCACTCCAGACTGCCTCAGCCAGCAACACAGGGCTCCCTCTCCCCTCTGCTTCCAGTCAGAGAGCCTTCTTCCTGCGAGGAGCTGGATGTCAGCATTTCTCATCCTGCCCCCGCCACCTGTTGCTGAGGCTAAGTACTGGGTGAATACAGTCGAAAAGTGGAGCCTCTACTCTTCCTCCCAGTTTCCTCTCTTGAATTGAGGCTCTACCTTGGGCACAGTGCACTGAAAGTACTGCAGCCTGACAGCAACTCTTCCAACTTGGGACGTGATGGTTCCACAGCAGGAGAAGACCCCAGGATGCCCCCACCCCGCCACCCTGCCAAGCATTCAGTTCCTGGAGTGGGGGTATCCCTCGGAAAGAAGCTTGTCATTGTCCCTACCCCCAGCTCCAGAGCTAGGCTCAGAGATTTTGCCTGGAGGCCAGGGGGAGGGAGGAAGAAGTTGGAGAAGAAGCAGGTCTTAAGCAAATAACTCCTGTGTCTTCCCCAAGGAACTGACTTCATTTATAACAGAGTGTGCAGAAGTTCAAGCTTAAGGGCACTCTTCAGAATGGTGGAGGTTGTGGTGAAAGCAGTTGGGAAGAGATTCATGGGTTTAATGAATATACAGCCTAGACTGTAGGCTGGCTGGCTTGTAGGAGAGAACTGGTGAATAAGACAGCTGGAGAGGAGCCCTCCTAGGGTCAGAACAAATATCAAACACAAATCTGAGACTACTTCTGAAAACGAGCCCTGATTTCACTGGTTTAAGTTGAAGAGCAATTTATGCCCTTAGAACATTACTGAAAGGAAGCATTATACAAATAACCAATAAGTACATGAAAAGATGCTTGACATCATTAGTCATCAGGACATTGCAAATACAGATCACAATGAAATCCTACTGCATACCCACTAGGATGGCCATAATAACACAGTCAAATAATAACAAGTGTTGGCAGAGATGTGAAGAAATTTGAACCCTCATGCACTGCTAGTGGGAATTTAAAATGATGCAGCCATTTTAGAAAACAGTGTGGAAGTTTCCTAAACAATTAAACACAGATTTACCATATGACCCAGCAATCCTACTCCTAGGCATATACCCAGGAGAAATGAAAACGTATGTCCACACAAAAACTTGTATGTGAACGTTCATAGCAACATTGTTCATAACAGACAAAAGGTAGGAAAAACTCAAATATCCATCAATTGACAAATTGATAAACAAAATGTGGTATAGCCATACCATTCCGTAAAAAGCAATGTAGTACTGATACATGCTACATCATGGATGAAACTTGAAAACATGCTAAGTGAAAAAAACAGTCACAAACACCACATATTATATAATTGCATTTAGATAAAATGCCCAGAAACTTGAAAACATGCTAAGTGAAAAAAACAGTCACAAACACCACATATTATATAATTGCATTTAGATGAAATGCCCAGAATAGGGAAATCTACAGAGACAGAAAGTAGACTAGAGATTGCTTAGGACTGGGGGAGGCATATGGGGAGATAGGAAGATGAGCTGAAAGTTCTTTCTGGGGTGATGAAATTGTTTTAAAATCAGCTGCAGTGATAGCTATACTAAAAACCATTAACTCGCAGACTAAATAGTTAAATTTTATAGTATGTGAGTTATATCTTAATAAAGCTGCTTTTAGAAGTCTTAAGTTGTTTCCATGAGTAGACATATAGAACAGTCTCATTTTTATGATGACTGCATAGTATTCTACAGCACAGATGTGCCATGATTTTATCTTAACCATTACCATAACAATGGATACTCATATTGTTTCTGAGTTTGCACTATTACTGACAATGAGGTAAAGAACACCTTGGCAGTACCTCCTTGTGTTCATATGTAGACATTTGGTGGGCTGTTTTCCTAGATCTTTTAGCCCACAGAAGACCAGAGTTACTGCTAAAGATTTTTAAAGTTAGATAAATAATTGTCTTCTGAGAGCAACGTGACAGGGCTTTGTCTGTTACGGCAATCCTGGCTCAAGCCTTCTCTGATTGGTTATCAACATTTATTCATTCGGCTATTCCTGTCGTCCTTAATTTGTCAGATTTATTAAGGATCAACTTTAGCCAGACCTTCAGCTGCATGCTGAGGATCTAGGCAGGATCTCAGGCTGGGGCAGGGTAGCGGGGTGTGGGTAGGGGTGGTGAACAGGTGACTGCAACACTCTCTGGTGAACACCAAGCACTCAACCCAGCTTCCTGAGTTGCTCCATCCTCCAGAATGGCTGGCCAGCCAGGCTCACACCAAGCCCTTGGCCACCGCCATGCCCCACTGACAGACATATCTAGTCTTCCCATATAAGACTTATAAGAGTAATCGTGGCAACATATGCTTAATAACATGAAAATACACGCTACATACACACACACGAAAAGTCTAGGAGCACACAAATGCCCATCACAAATAGAATGATGGGCAACTGTGGCATGAGCATCCAAAGGAACGGCAAGGGAGCAGCACAAAGCTGCAGGCTTGGAGTGTGTGGGTTTGCTTGCGTTCGTGTGGAATCGCTCCACGTGAACACACAGGCCACGGCAGCACCCCTAGAAAGGGGCCCAGATGACGAACAGGGTGGGAGAGACTCACTGTTCAGCGTACCCTCTGCATCTTTTGAATTTTGTACCATGTGCATATTTAAAGGAGTAACAAGATTACTCCTTCAGGGGCTCCCGTTGCCCCCACAGTGAAATCACACTTTCAACACACGATGAGACAGCGTCTTCACCTTCTCCCAGCGCGTCCTTATTTCACTTCTTCCTTCTTCCTGGGCGCCCCTCCAGCTGCACCTCCTGGGTGGAGCATGGCCTTTCCCTCACTTGCATCTGCCTCTTGGCCTTGGAGGTACCCTCGGGCCACTCGGAAAAAAACCTCCTCTGGCCCCTCAACTACTCTGGAGGACCCTCTGAGCTCAGAATTCTCCCAGAGGAATACCCCTCATCCACACTGGCAGTGAGGCCACCAGACCCCAAATTCCTGCTTCAGGGCCCGCAACATGGTAATGTCAACCAAAATTAAGACTGCCCAGGCAGAAATAAATAGATGAAGGTTTACTGGACACCAAATGTGAGGATCATCCGAGGAAGACATGTCAGCAGAGTTAGGCATGCTCCACAGTCGGCCACAGGTGAAAGGATTTTCTGGGAAGCTGAGGCGAAGGGAGGGGAGGACTCATGCTGGAGCTGTCCTCTTTACTGCAGGCTCCAATGCAGGGGTTCGGTCACTGACCACAGACAGCAACACACACGCTAAAAGTCCCTACATGCAAGACAAGCAGCAAAGCTTCATGATTTAGAAACAAATCAGTGTATTTTCCAGTGTCAGTGGGTTACGTATTTTTTTTTTAATAGATGGAGTCTTGCTCTATCACCCAGGCTGGAGTGCAGTGGCATGGTCTTGGCTCACTGCAACCTCCTCCTCCTGGGTTCAAGTGATTCTCCTGCCTCAACCTCCCAAGTAGCTAGGATTACAGGCACACACCACCACACCCGGCTAATTTTTGTATCTTTAGTAGAGACGGGGTTTCACCATATTGGCCAGGCTGGTCTTGAACTCCTGACCTCGTGATCTGCCTGCCTCGGCCTCCCAAAGTGCTGGGATTACAGGCATGAGTCACCGCGCCCAGCCAGGTTACCTATTAATCTGTACTTCAACAGTTCGAGGAAACTCACGACAAGATCTGTGGGACTCAGGATAAGATACTTCACTCAGGAACAGGATGCAAGCCATGAGCCTAAGGCCTCCCTGAGGGAGCAGTGTGGCAGCTGCCAATATGGGCTGCAGGTTATCAGCGAGCACTCGGCGCCATTTGTCAGTGTGTGCACAAGACAGCTGGAGAGAGAGAGGTAGAGGGAGAGTGAGGGAGAGAGAAGAGAATGAGTGAGAAAGAGAACACAGAGTGAGACGGCGAGAGAGTGAGAGAAATTGGGAGATGGAGTGAGTGGGAGTGAGACGGGGAGAGAGAGAGAGTGAGACAGTGAGGGAGACAGCAAGTTGCCAGTCCCAGGCCCAGTTCTGCGGCTTTCTCCTAACCTGCTGAAAGCCCCACAGGCACTACAGAGAGGCGAGCTGACCTGCCCCAAGTCTCCAGCTTGTAAGAGGGGCCTGGGACTCAGACCTGACTCCAAATCCCAGCCTCTTTCAGCTTCCCCACCCCGCATTCCAGAAGGCTTCTCAACCCCATGCAAGATCAGTGCCCACTAAGGTGCCTTCCTGGGCTCCCTGGGGCCCCCTCAGCCTCCATCCATCTGTCAATCATCTCTCAGGCTGTCTCTGCACACTTTTCACCATTTGGACTGACAGAGGCTTAGAACATTTTTGCTTCGATTATGTCCATTATTTAAAGATTCTCCCTGGAGATTTGTGGCTAAAGACAACAAAAGGTGAAAAAGAAATTCACTAACTAAGTTATATAATAAGGCACTTTATTCCAAAAATGAGAGTGAGATATTTTAAGCTTTTACCACTTACCATGGCTTTCTTGTGGTGTTTTCCAACTTCAGGTATTTCAGCTACAAAACAAAATAAAATAAAATGTTATGAATCCTCAGTTCTGTTCCTTGGAAATACGGGCCCCCCTGATGGAGCCTAAGTCACAATCCCTACTCTTACGCCCTCTATGATCTGGGAGGGAAACCAGAATAAATATGCTAGGATGCAGTAAATGAGATCAGAGAAACACTTCACCCATACGAGAATGTAAAGGCACAGCCACCTCGGCCCAGTGCGGGACACTCCAACTGCCACTCCAGTATGGAGCTGCCTGTCCTCAGCCTACCCCGGAGCTCAGCTCTGCCCTGCAGCTCAGCTCTGCCCTGCTTACTCCCACTTCCTTCTGATTTTCAGCACTCCAATGCGTTATATGACACTGTGAGTTTAACTTGCATTTCTCTAACGACAAATGACGTTGAGCACTTTCCATGTGTGTAAGAGCCATTTGTATATCCTCTTCGGTGACGTGTCTGCTGAAATTTTTGGACTATTTTCTTACATCTTCATAACCATTGTTTATAGGGACTATCTCCACTCTCCTTCCTTCATGCCTTCATCAAAATCAGTTGTTCATACATAGGTTCATCTCTTGATTTTCTACCCTATTCCATTGATCTATTCATCTATGTTTAGTGTTTTGTTACTACAGCTTTATAATGTCTTTCCATTTTCATTCAGTTTAAAATGCTTTCTGATCTTCCTTTTGATTTGTTTTGACCCATGAGTTATTTAGATGTGCATTATTTAATTTCCAAATGCTTGGGGATTTTCCAGATATCTTTCTATTGCTGATTCCTAATTTAATTCCATTTTGGTCAGAGAACATGCTCACTATGACAGAAATCCTTTCACATTTACTCAAACTTATTCTGTGGCCCAGAGAATACTTTATCTTGGTAAATGTGTCACGTGCGCTTGAAAAAAATGTGCATTCTGCTAAACACAGGAGGGTTCTATAAATGTCAGTTAGATCACATTTGGTTTCCAGTTTTGTTTCTGTATTCTTACCGATTTTCCATCTACTTGTTTTCTCTGTCTGTCGTCCAGGCTGGAGTGCAGTGGTGCAATCATAGCTCCATAAGCTCGAACTCCTGGGCTCAAGTAATTATCCCACCTCAACCTCCCGAATAGCTGAAACTATAGGAATGTGCCACCAGGCCCAGGAAATTTTTTTTTTTTTAGAGACAATGTCTCACCATGTTGCCCAGGCCAGTCTTGAACTCCCGGGCTTAAGCAAAATGGCCGCCTTGGTCTCCCAAAGCGCTGGGATTACAGAGGTGAGCCACTGCACCTGGCCCTGTGTACTTATTTTCAACAATTATTTACAGAAGAGTGTTGAATTGTCTAACTATATTTTTTGATTTAACCATTACGGCTTGCAGGTTTCTGAGTTTTTGCTGCATGTATTTTTGAAGCTATGTTATCCGTTGGATAAATGTTTAGGATAGTTATGTGGTGACTTTTTGACCCCTTCGTCATTATAACATGACGTTCTCTGTCCATGGTAACATTCTTGCTCTGAAATCCACTTGACTTGGTATCAAGATGGTGACTCCTGAATAACACTGGTGTGAAATGTATTCCATTCTTTCACCTCTGATCCAATGTTGCCTGTGTATGTGTGCACACTTGTGTGGTTGGTGCGTGCTTTTTAATCCAATTGAAACAATCTTGAATCTTTAATTGGGCTATAGTTTAGGTTTGTTTCATTTAATCTAATTATTGATCTGGTTGGGTTTAAAGCTAGTATCTTGTCATTTGTTTTATCTTAATCCAATCAGTCACTTGTTTTCTGTTTCTTTTTTGGCATTTTTGATTAATTAAGGATTTCTTACATTTTCACATTATTTCTTTTATTGGATTATCAGCTACAACTATTGTGTTATTTCGGTGGTTGTGTTAGGGCTTACACTGTACCTCTTTTCACAGTCTATGCACTAAAGTGACATTACATCACCTCAACTGCAGCACAGGTTGGGTATCCCTTATCCAAAATCTTGAGACCAGAAGTGTTTCAGATTTCAGGTTTTTTCAGATTTTTGAATATTTTGAAATATTAGACTTCCTGGTTGAGCATCCTTAGCCTGAAAATTTGAAATCAAAAATTCTTCAATGAGCATTTCCTTTGAGCATCATGACAGCATTCCAAAAGTTCCGGATTTTTTTGGAGCATTTTGGATTTCAGACTCTTGGGTTAGGAATACTTGCCCTGTCTATGACCTTTATCACAATATACTGTGTTTTGTCTCTTGCATTTGTGCTAGTGTCACACGGCTTATCTGTCCATATTTTACAAATCCCCAATGCACTGTTATTTTGTTTTAAAAAGTTGATTCTCTCTTTTAAATAACATTTCTATTGCTTTTCATCCCTTTGTGTAGACACACATTTCCATCTGGTGTTACTTTCCATCTACCTAAAGGACCTCCCTTCACATTTCTTGTAACGCAGGTCTGAGGCTCATCAGTTCTTTCCATTTTTGTGTGTTAGGGGGAGGAAGGTCTCTATTTCATTAAGTGAAAGATATTTTCTCGGCCGGGCACAGTGGCTCAAGCCTGTAATCCCAGCACTTTGGGAGGCCAAGACGGGCGGATCACGAGGTCAGGAGATCGAGACCATCCTGGCTAACACGGTGAAACCCCGTCTCTACTAAAAAATACAAAAAACTAGCCGGGCGAGGTGGCGGGCGCCTGTAGTCCCAGCTACTGGGGAGGCTGAGGCAGGAGAATGGCGTGAACCCAGGAGGCAGAGCTTGCAGTGAGCTGAGATCCGGCCACAGCACTCCAGCCTGGGCGACAGAGCGAGACTCCTAAAAAAAAAAAAAAGAAAGATATTTTCTCTAGGTAAAGAGTATTTTCTTTCAGCACTTTAAAGATGTTGTTCTATTGTCTTCTCATTACATTGTTTTTAATGAGAAATTTGCTGTCATCCTTATATCTGTTCCTTTGTCCCTAATATTTCTTTTTTATCTGACTACTTTGAAGACTTTCCCTTATCACTGGATTTGAGCAACTTGATTATGATGTGTCTTGGTGCTGTTTTCTTTATATTTCTTATGCTTGAGGTTTGTTGAGCTTCTTGAGTCTATGGGATATAATTTTTAACAAATTTGGAAAATTTGAAGAAAATTGTATTCCTTAAAATATGTTTTCTGTCTCCCTCCCCTTCTGCAATTATAATTACTCATGTATTTGGATATTCAACCGCTTAAAGGTGTCCCACAGCTCGCTACTATTTTTTAGTCCTCTTGTTTCTCTATTTTTCATTTCTCTCTGTTTTGTATTTCTTGATAGTTTCTCTCCTTGTCTTTAACTTCTCTTGTCATTTTCTCTTAATTGTCTAAACCATCCTATGTATTTTTATCTCACGCATTGTGGCTTTCATCTCGAGAAGTTTGGTTTGGATCTTTTCTAAATCTTCTTTGTATCTAGTTAACATGATCTACCTCTTCCTCTACTATACTAAATATATGACATATTGTTATAATACTTGCTTTGATGTCCTTGTCTTCCAATTCTATTGTATCATTTGTCATTTCTGGATCACGTTGGTTGATATTCATCCTCACTGTGGGTCACTTGTTTTTCTTCGCATGCTGGTAACTTTTGATTGAGTGCCGTGCATTATGAATTTTACTTTGTCAGATGCTGTATATTTTATATTCCTGTAAATAGCTTTGAACTTTGTTTTGAGTTTGATCTTTTTGATCTTGCTTTTATGCTTTGCTGAGTGGGATCAGAGCAGCATTTAGCCTAAGGCTAATTTCATCCTCCACTGAAGGAAAACCCGTCTAAGTACTCTACCCAGAGCCCCCTGAATTTGTTTTCTACTCTGGCTGGGGTGAACAGGCACTATTCCCAGCCCTGTTTGATCTATGGAGAATGCTCCCTCTAACGTTGTATGAGGCGCTTTCTCTTTTCTATCCTCTGACCAGTATAGCTGAGTGGTAGGGGGGGACTCTCTGCAGACCTCCACAGCTCTCACTGTGTACCCCTCTCTCTCCTGTGAATTCCAGCTGCCTTGGACTTCCTAACTTCATCTCTTTTTTTCATCTCAGTGAGTATACCAAGCTTTGCCTGGCCTCTTCCTTTTACCAACTGTGTCGTGCGCTGGGCCTAGCGCAGGGCTCCACTCACCTGCTTCCCTGTTCTCATGGATCATTCCCCTTCATTGCCTAGTGCCTGATAGCTTGACAACTGTTATTTCAATAATGTGTCCCATATTTTTACGTTTATCAAACAGGAGGTAAATCGGGTCCTTATTACTCTATCTTTTCCAGAAGTGGAAGCTATAGAAATGTTTGTGTCATCCGAAAGTCACACAGATGAATGCTGGCCATGCCATTCACACCCCATCTCCAGGAGGTGATGCTCTGTCAGCTGGCAAAAGTCTGGCTTGACAGGCAACCTCAGCCCTGATGTGCAGATGAGGACCTCAGCTCTCTGAGTTGATGTCATTAAACACCAAGTCAGTCACACCCTTTGGAAGTCATCTGTAACTTAACTGCAAGGAGGGAATCCACAACTCAGATAGAGGTGAGTGTCTGGGGCACCAGTAAATTGGCAAATCTGTGATGCCAGGCTCTCCTGTGAGCTTCGAGAGCCCAACCCAACCTTGGGAATGTAAGGATGTAGGCTTTCTGAGTCCCCAGGCTCTGGGTAGATTATCAAGGTGACAGCAGCTGTCAGAAACTGGCCCCACTGCTGTTCCTCATGCAACACGCAAAACACACTGCACGTCATCATGCCTAACATTCTGCAAGCTGCTGCGTATGACAGGGTTATTCAAACAGTTGGACCTTGTATCTCTAAAGATCCAAAAACTTCATGTTAACCATTTTGATGGAGTTTATGCTAATGTGTCTATTTTAAATATTTTAACAATAACAGGCCTAAATAAATGAGCAACTAAAGTCACACACTATTGTCAGCACAGTAAAGAGAACATAACATAACCCTGCACGGTCACGCATCAGGATCGCAAGCACCCTTCTGTGAGAGGCATTAGCTCTGAGGACCTG